ATATATATATATTTATTTTAGCAGTATATGCGTTATTAAACATGCTTCCTTCCGTCTTTTGCACAGCTGTATTCACCACTCCTATATTGACTTTACAGAAATACATTTACAAACCAGGAGGTGTTTTATCATTTTATTTGTATCTGGACAAAAAAAGAAGAAAAAAAAAACACCTCTTAAACATTTGTTCAGAATTGTTCATGTAAATGTTTGTGTGACATGTTCAGTTTGTGTGTCCGTCACTCATTCATATCGTCGGTAAAGTCAAGTCAGTCACAGTATGGGCAATTGTAGGCAGAGGAGGAAAAGAAAGAAAGAAAAAATATTTAAATATAAATACATTTAAAAGGAAAGAAATGACCAAACCAGGATACAATATCCACCTGGGCATGTCTTAATATTGTGTATGAAAAGTACTTAAACATGTAGCATTGTAAACACAGGTGAGTCAGCATTACTAGACACAGCCATATTCATCGGCTCCAGGTTTGGAAGAGACAAAAAGTCTCCAAATGTCAACATCTACAAGATCTAGGACGGAAGACCATAAAGACCCAATTTCACTTATTTGTGGCCTTTTGTAAATATTTTATTGTTTTCTGCACTTCTCAGAAGTTATTTTAAGGAGTAAAGAGCAGTGCAAGGACTGCAACTTTAAACTGCCAATATAACAATATAACCGTTAAATTTCTGGTTTAAATGTAGTTCATCGAGGTACACAGATCATATGACACCCAGATTTGTTTATATATATAAACTTTTGGCTTCTTAACGCGAATATCCTTAATTGAGAACAAAACATTTGTGAAAGAGGCCTGAACTGATTTGGATTTTCTGTAATTGTGCTACGGTTACTTACAGAGGGAAGTCAGACTTGAAACAACATAGTTGGGTCTACATGGTCAGCTAGTGCGCTCATAAACAGGACACAAACACACAAAAATACTCAACGAGGGCAAGAACAGAATTTACAGAGTTTTCCCCTTAATCGTTAGTATCCTTCTCACTGGTTTAAATGTAGTTCATCGAGGTACACAGATCATATGACACCCAGATTTGTTTATATATATAAACTTTTGGCTTCTTAACGCGAATATCCTTAATTGAGAACAAAACATTTGTGAAAGAGGCCTGAACTGATTTGGATTTTCTGTAATTGTGCTACGGTTACTTACAGAGGGAAGTCAGACTTGAAACAACATAGTTGGGTCTACATGGTCAGCTAGTGCGCTCATAAACAGGACACAAACACACACAAAAATACTCAACGAGGGCAAGAACAGAATTTACAGAGTTTTCCCCTTAATCGTTAGTATCCTTCTCACGTCCTCTCTGACAATAGAACTACATCCAAAAGGAGCACAAGCTAAGCAAACAGTACACACTGAGACAACATTTCAACATTACATTGGCCTTGGTTTAAAGTATTAATTGAACCAGCACAATAAATTATGCATTTTTATCTTTATACCTTTGAGTTTACCAATTTGGTGTACAAATAGACCATCACATCTCTAATGAAACTGTGGCAGGCAATGTAACCTCTAATTTGTAAGATAAGAAAATAGAGCAGCAATATTTGCACAATATATGTACACATTCAAGTAAATAAAATAGGAAAAAAAAAAAATCAAAGACAGATTGATACGACTCAGCCTCTTGTCTTTGTTGGTCTGATTGGCACTTTTGTGAATAGGAGTGCATTTCCATTAATAGATAATTTCTTTGCTTTTTTTGATCAACATATGAACCCACCCAGTGGTTTTGTAGACCATTAGATATATTTTAATAAGCATAGTTTATAAGCAAAGACTTCTAGATACTAGTCAACCAAACACAGGATGCTGCACTGTTAAGAACAAATGCTGATATGAGCGTCGCATCACTTCCTTTCACTTCACAGATCATTCGTCAGTCAACGTCTCGCTTTGTTTTCATAGATACAGGCCCATCTTAAATCAAACGACTCCTAGCATTCACCCAGAGAAGCACCCTTCGGTCAGTGTATTATGGAGGTAGAGGAAAAATGCTTCCATAATGACAGGAAAAGTTTACTCACAGTTTTTAAGTAAACCGAGAGGTTAATATTGAAACTTTTCATTCCCTCTGTCTGAAATCCACAGCAGTCCAACATCAAACCCAGGTGTGTTCAACTTTTAGTGCATCAACTCAAAAAGTGCCAAAAGGTGGAACAAATCAACATGAGAAAAAAAAGAAATGATGCAAGCCATTTCCCCTCGGTTTTATGCTAATCTGTTTGTGTACATGTTTATGAAGTGTATGCTGGTCTTGTATGCATGTGTGCGAGGTGTGTGCAAATAGAACATAATATCTATATATATATTTTTGCCCATATATTTCATTATTTAAATAACTATTCCTTGCCATACCGACAGCACCTGCAAAACTACAGAAACCGGAACTACTCCATCTAATGAGCGCAAGCTAATTGTTGAATGAAGATCTGGCAAGGGATACAAAATGATTGTTGATACCAACAGAACACCATGCAAAACCCCAACATGCACATACTGAGGGCTGCCCTGAACAAACCTTGAACCACCCAGAATTACTGTGCTCCAATTAATGACGAGAATAACAGAGCAGACTCCATTAAGACTCCATCACGTGCATCACTCCGGCCCTCAGATATGCGTCTGCTTCCCCCAGATCACATTTCAAAGTTAAAGCCTTTGATCAAAAGAAGAGTTATTCATAACACTGCACACCACGAACATCCTACAACTAGATATTTCACCCCTGCCTGGTTAAGAAAAAACTAAACAAAAAGAAACTGTGCATTATCTTTACTAAATGGGCTCTTTGGGCCCCACTTTTCCAGTCATTGTCTCTTAAAAGTAATGACTTTTTATGTTAGGCTACTCTTTTACTAAAATACCTGGATTATTTCAACACCACCCACCACCACCACGTCAAATAGACTACAAACTCCACACCCAGCATGGTCTGAAATTAATACTAAGAGAACAGAAACGGCTTAAGAAATCCTTTGAAGAGTGCTTAAATCCTCATGAAACGCATCTGCAGTTATTATGCTAAGAGTTTTGTTTATAAAGGATGGCCATATCAAACACAACCAGGCTTGTTTAACTACCAGGATATGAATAATGAAAAAAAAAAAAAAAAGGAATTCTATAAACACAAAATAATGAAAAACAAACCAGTATCAAAAGAATAAGGATGAAGATCAAGATTTTCTGATTTTAAATAAATGAGAAAATTCTCTCATCTTTTCGTGAAAGGGCATTACCTCCC